ATCATCGGAAGGTACCAAGACCTTGTTGATAAATATTCCGTATCAACTTAACAAATAATACACGATGGTCTTGAAGTATAGATTCTGGGTACTGACATTGTTTTACATCTTAATAACGTGTTATAGTATTCTTTTATTTGTCTTTATTGATATTACTTTTACTGTTAATATAAAAAAGAAGATGTGGTGTGATTGTCAATGAGACAACTCTTTACAAAAGACCAAATGACAAAAAAATAAACAACTATAGGTCACCGTACGACCTTCAACAATGAGCAAAGCTCACACTGCATAGTCAGCTATAAAAGGCCCCGAAATGACAAAAGGCAAAACAATTCAAACGAGAAAACTAACGGCCTTATTTATGTATAAAAATGAATAAGTTAAGTCTGTTTTTTGTGATATCCATTTGACGTGAGTCTGTACTTATGCATCCCGTTATACACTGAATGACAAAATTAATCTATTTCTATCTGTGTGACGTCAAACGCGCGATTCTACGTCAAAGTTAATGATAATCTAACCATGTGTCTGTCGGGGTAAGGATTCGGTCCCAGTACTTAAAATCTTTCAATCCTTTATGGGTGGATTTTACATATATAAATTAAATCGTATAATAAAAAATCAAAATGAGGTTGTTAGATTTGATGTAGGCCTTCTTGTGCTTCTTTGTTACATTTGTTTGTTTAAATAGTGATTAAGATGATAACACAATGTTGACTGCTGTACCCCTATTTTTGACATTTTTACCTATTATGTCTGATTGTTTTGTTCACACATCGTTGTCAATATAATGGAATTTGATGCGACTGTCATACAAGTGAGAGGTTTAGCTAGCTATAAAAACAGGTTCAATCCGCCATTTTCTACATAAGAAAATGTCTGTACCAAGTACGGAATATGACAGCAGATATCCATTCATTGGATGTGCTTGAGCTTTTGATTTTGCCATTTGATGATGGATTTTCCTTTTTGAATTTTCCTCGGAGTTCAGTATTTTTGTGATTTTACTTTTTTGTGAATTGCCTGGCAAGCCTGATATTACTGCAGTTATTAGATCATTACTATGTCTACGTTTAGTGGATCACAGTTCGACACGAGAAGCTAAGAGAGTTAAGTCTAGCTTAAGTATTGAATAACGCCAAAGTCTATACGTGATTCACTCTTTGTAGACAAATGTTCTGCAGGAATAGTACTGTAGTTACGAAAAAAGTAAAATCTCAAAAATACTGAACTCCGAGGAAAATTCAAAAAGGAAAGTCCCTAATCAAATGGCAAAATCAAAATCTGAAACACATCAATTGAATGGATAACAACTGTCATATTCATACGATCTTCTATACTTTCCTCACAAATCTGTTTATGTTGAATGTGGCATACACGAGAATTATACATTTTAGTTAAGTCTAGCTTAAATTTTTGAATAACGCCACTGTCTATACGTGATTCACTCTTTGTAGACAAATGTTCTGCAGGAATGGTACTGTAGTAACGAAAAAAGTAAAATCACAAAAATACTGAACTCCGAGGAAAATTCAAATAGGAAAGTCCCTATATCAAATGACAAAATCAAAAGCTCAAACACATCAAACGAATGGATAACAACTGTCATATTCTTTCCTCACAAATCTGTTTATGTTGAATATGGGATACATTTGATGTTATAGAGCACTTAGCTGAAGGTATTTCAAAATTAAACACTTTGTAACCTTCTGAAAGGAAATTTTGTCGGTTTTAATATCTTATAGCGGCCGTCTTGGAAAAGCTGCCATATTTCAATTTCAAGTTGGGTCCATAGCTTATATTGTTCGAAGCACACAGCACTACTAAAATGACAAAAATTGAACTATATAAAGAATGTTTGTTGTTTTTGATATTTTGTGGCGGCCGTTTTGGAAAAAGCCGCCATATAGAATTTTCATGGTGGGATCATAGCCAATATTTTTTAAACAACAAGCACTACTGCAATGCCAAATTTGACTATAAATCTGACCTTATGTAAGTGATAAACATGTATGCTGTTTTTTATATTTTGTGGCGACCATCTTGAAAAAAGCTGCTATATTGAATATTTATGGTGGGTTCATAGCTAATATTTTTTAAACAACAATCAGTACTACCATAAACTATAAATCTGACCTTATTTAAGTGATATATGCTGTTTCTTATATTTTGTGACGACCATCCTGAAAAAGCCGCTATATTGAATTTTCATGGTGGGATCATAACCAATATTTTTTAAACAACAAGAACTACTGCCATGCCAAATTAGACTATAAATCTGACCTTATATAAGTGACATATTCTGATTTTGAAATTAACTGGCGACCATCTTGGAAAAGGCCGCCATTTAAAAAAATTCCAGGTGGGTACATAGCTAATTTTATTTGAAAAACCAAGAACTACCTCAATGCAAAGTTTGGTGCTTTTATCATCAAACCCATCGATCTGCCATACTATAATACAACTTGCTGTCTACGTTCAGTTACAAACTTTAAGTCAGTTATCCGACATACGATTGAACACGGATACAATTTAAATACAGTCTCTTTCATAATCTTTTTTTGAGGCTCTTTGTTGAGAGCTTGTGCCTTATGAGGATAAATTGCATCCCAGAATATACGATGGTCTATTAACACTGACTGGTTTTCCATTACGTCAGAAAACTGTCAATTACATGATCTACCAGAACTAAATCCAGACAAGGAATCTGAAATTAAACTGTCTAACGATTCTTTTATTTTCGTATCCGTGACCTATTAATACTTTCTCCTTCATCGATGATGTAACGAATTGGAACATTCCAGGATGACTTTGAAAGAACTAGTAGGAAGAATTAATCCGACAGTTCATTGTTTTGTACAGCACATAGATACTCACGGAGTTGTATTGTATAGATCGATGTTGTTTTGCTTGTTTGACATAGAAGGGTTATTGTCACATCTGTAATAATCTTTATCTCTTTTGATCGATATCGGGTGAAAGCATATAATTAAAATAGGCTACTTGTGTTTTATGACTTTCGAACAGCAGTATACTACTCTTGCCTTTATTTAATAGAAAAAAATACTTTTTCGGTTGCTTCTGTTGTACATAGTTTTCAATACATTGTAAGGATAAATCCCGAGCTCACAAAAAATTAAACTAACACAGATTGCTGCATTTTAAACTCCTTTCTGAATTTACGTTCATCATTGACGCTCGAATACTAATATTGGAAAAGACAAGATTATATGAGAACAGAAAAAAACGAAGAGCTTTACGACAAAACGAGGTTTTAAACAAAGTCATGTGACCATCTAAGGTTTATTTTGTCTGAGGAAGTTGGAACCTTAGTTTCAATTTTTTGAAAATGATACATGTGTTACACAAAAAGTAAAATCACAAAAATAATGAATTCCGAGGAAAATTCAAAACGGAAAGTCCCTAATCAAATGGCAAAATCAAATAATAAAACACATCAAACGAATGGACAACAACTGTAATATTCCTGACTTGGTACAGGCATTTTCTTATCAAGAAAATGGTGGATTGAACCTTGTTTTATAGCGCCTAACCTCTCACTTGTATGACAGTCGCATCAAATTCCATTATATTGACAACGATGCGTGAACAAAACAGACATTATAGGTAAAATTGTCAAAATAGGGGTACAGCGGTCATCACCGTGTCACAATCTCAATCAGAACAAAAACAAACAAATATTTAACAAAAAAGCACAAAAAAGCATATATCAAATTTAACAACCACGTTCATTGCTTACTTATTTTTGAATTTTATTTAAGTATGTTAAAATCAACCCAACACAAATGTCAGGAAGTGTAGATATTTATATCTTGACAAATATACACCAAAGACGGTGATTTATCAACCCTGCATTTGGAATCAAACGAAAAAATAAATATAAATCAATCGTTCGTATATGAGTTTATCAAAAAAGAATATGTTAATATGAAAAACTACAACATTATCTATTATCTACAGTATTATTCTTGCACGTCAATGTAAATATACTGCTTCCTGGATTATGTGATTTCTTTCCAGAGTATGAAAGTCAACATCTTTCATTAAAGACATAGTGTTTCTGGTTTCTTGTTTTCTATATAAATTAGACTGTTGTTTTCTCCCGTTTGAATGGTTTTACACTAGTAATTTTTGGGCCCTGTATAGCTTGCTGTTCGGTGTGAGCCAAGGCTCCGTGTTGAAGACCGTACTTTGACCTATAATGGTTTACTTTTATAAATTGTAACTTGGATTGAGAGTTGTCTCATTGACACTCATACCACATCTTCATATATCTATATAAGTAACATTGTCACAATGCAATTGTTAAAGCTTCCAAAAACAAGAAAATTTTAATTCAGATTGTTTTCAGGACCTACTAAAAATTTCACAAAATCAATAGTTTTTTTTTTACCTGTTTGTATGGATTGATTGTTTTAATAGATATTGATAAATTTGACTTGAATGTTATTAAGATACATCAATAGGTCAACGAATTGTTACTTTATTTAAGTACACGGATGAAGACGTTATTACAATTTTCTTGAATGTGAAAAATATATATCTACTGCCGAATCATTTTCATTTTCTATTTATTACAGTATATTAGTAAAAGGCTCATTGCATGTATGTTGTTGACAGTTCTCAATTTAAAAAAAAGAAAAAAAACATAAACAATAATCATTTCATACGGAACACGTGTGTAAGTGCATCTCTTGAATAAATAATCAAACCGTTTCATTTATTTTTATACGGATGATCAGAAGGAAAACAACCAAGATATTACGTTATTGAAATATACAAAACATATTTAATAATTCTAGATCTACTAATGATTGCTATGCGGTGACTGATTTATTTACATTATTACTTTATTATTATTATTATTATTATTATTATTATTATTATTAATATGATGATTATGACTATTATTATTATTATTATTATTATTATTAATTATTATTATTATTATTATTATTATTATTATTATTATTATTATTATTCTATTTTATATTATTTTATTATCATTATAATTATTATTTATTACCTTTAGTCCAAATAAGGTCATCAACAATTGACCTATGTCTGAACAATTTATCATGCGATTAATCACTTCGAGTCGAAATATCATAATAAGGTATTAAACAATTGACTCAAGTCTTAATAATTATCATGCAATTTATCATCTTTAGTCGATACATGATAATATCTACACAAGTTTAGCTTGTTAACACAATCTTATTATTGATGCACAGTCACAGCGATATGAATAAAAAATAGATACCAGGATTGAAATTTTGTATTTGTGCCAGATGCGCGTTTCGTCTACAAAAGACTCATCAGTGACGCTCGAATAAAAAAAGTTAAATAGGCTAAATAAAGAACGAGATTGAAGAGCATTGAGGACCAAACATTTTTAAAGGTCACACGTCCATGTAAACCCATATAAAGTTGAAAATAACATATTCATTGGCCTTCAACAATAAAACGTGTCACATGACAGTTTGGCTCTATTAGACGATACTTCTTCTGAATGTTAGCACACAATATTACCATGTTCTTCGTGACTTGCTACACACGAAGCTGATGCATCATCATTATAAAAGTTTTCTGCTTCTGCTATTTTTTGTAACAGTTCTTTAACAATATCAACATGTTCATTTTGACGTGCTACATATAGAGGTGATGCCCCCATATGTTTACACTGATATACGTCTGCCGAATGTTGTAACAGTTCTTTGACAACATTAACATGTCCTTCCTGACTTGCTATATACAAAGGTGACATACCCTTACTGTTACTCTTATTTACGATTGCTGAATGTTTTAACAATTCTTTGACAACATTAACATGACCTTCCTGACTTGATATATAAAGGGGTGATGAACCATCATAACAACACTGATTGACATCAGCGGAATATTCGAACAGTTTTGAAACAACATCAACATGTCCTTTTTCACTTGCTATATACAGAGGTGATATACCCTTATGTTTACACTGATTTACTTCTGCAAAATGTTGTAGAAGTTCTTGAACAACCTTAACATGTCCTTCCTGGCTTGCTATATACAAAGGTGACATACCCTTACTGTTACAATGATTTACCATTGCTGAATGATGTAATAATTCTTTGACAACATTAACATGACCTTCCTGATTTGCTGTATACAGAGGTGATGAACAATCATAACAACACTGGTTGGCATCTGCTGAATATTCTAACAGTTTTGTTACAACATCAACATGTCCTTCCTTACTTGTTATATACAGAGGTGACATACCCTTACTGTTACACTGATTTACGTCTGCTGAATGTTGTAAGAGTTCGTTAACAACATCAACATGTCCGTTGTGACTTGCTATACACAGAGGAGAAACACCATTTTTGTGACGGATAGAGACATCTGCTGAATTTGGTAACAGTTCTTTAACAACATTAACATGTCCATTCTGACTTGAGACATACAAAGGTGATGCATCATTATTGTCACATTGATTAACGTTTGCTGAAAATTTAACAAGTTCTTTAACAATACCAACATGACCTTCCTGACTTGCTATTAACAGAGGTGAAACACCATTATTGTTACACTTTTTGATATCCGCTAAATTTTGTAACAGTTCTTTTACAACATTTATGTGTCCATTCCGACTTGAGACATACAAAGGTGATGCGCCATCATTGTCACATTGATTTATGTTTGGAGAATATTGTAAAAGTTTCTTAACAACATTAACATGGCCTTCCTGACTTGCCCAAAATAAAGGTGAGCAACCATCAACAGTACGATGATTAATGTCTCTATGCTTACTTATCAACCACCCGACCAGATCAACATTACCTATAAAGCAACTCCCTGCAAGTGCTGTATATTTATTATGATTATCCTGAGTACAAACAAGTTCTAACTGCTTTCTTTGATCGAGTTTGTTTAAACTTGATACTAATGTATTTGTAAATTTAGTATCATTCATGTTTCTGTTATGAAATACACGGTATATAAAACCATTCAGCCAGTCCTTCAGAAGTCTCTCGATATAACTGTTGACATAATTATCAGGAATTGTTATTGAAAACTCTATTTCTGTGCCCGTTAAATATGCTGTCTTCATTAGAAATCTCTCATGTATGAATGCAGTTTCGGCATGATCAATAAAGAGCTGTAACATCTTTTCCCCAAAGTACTTGGCCAAAAAATCAAACAGCTTTTCATGGATGATTTTGTATGTAGTATCTTCCGTCACCACATATGTACCTTCAAGTGTTTCAAGGGATTTCCTTAAACTCTTGGTGGATGTTTCTTTATTTAGTTCACATTCTGTAAGTGAAGCTTTTATCACTGTATCAATATCTTTAATGGACAAGTTTTCTTCAGTCAATGTGTTGTTAAACATTACACAAAGGACCAAGCTACAATATTTCAACTTACCATTATCACCTTCGCTTATCATTTGTTGAACTTGATTTTCAAAAACAGCAAAAGGATTGCTAAAAAAAGACTTAACGCTAACATGGTCTTGGAGTTTTTGTTTATAATATAAACTACACAAAAGTGGGAAACATTCATATGTTGCCGACAATTCCTTTACCTCGTCAGTATTTACTTTAAAGTACACTTCAGCTAAGGCTATTTTTTCAGCATCACTTATTCTGTAATCCTTTGAACTTAAATCCACATTGCACATTTTAAAAATTGACAAATTGCTACATTGCTTATCCTTGTAAACGTCTAACCTAAATGTAGACAAAATTTTACAATATTTGTCTTCAAGGAGAGATCTTATGTCATCAAGCCTTTGTTTCCAGTCAGTGTACTCTTGTTGATCAAGAGTATAACGGCCACATACGTCATTAAAGACAAATAATGTTTTCCTCCCATGTTTATAAAAAAAAGAAATATCTCTAGCTTGACTACACGGAATAACAGTATAACCATGTTTACTCATTTTGAGGGCAATGTGTCTTAAAAGGAAAGTTTTTCCAACGCCAGAGTTCCCTACGAGGGTAATGGAACTTTGTTTCAAAACAGTTTTCATTAGTTTTTTCTCTAAAGCTGTACCTACAAACTTGTCATCATCTTTCTTCCACTGTTCAAACTGTTTTTCAAACTGTTCTGCCAAAAAAAAGCCAACAAAAACCAACAAATAATGAAATCAAATCGAATAGTTTCAATGTATGCAGATTTTGGTTCATATCCAACTATTGCGGTCATCACGTGACTTTAACAAATCAGTTGTAAATGTTTGATGGCCAATCGTTTATCAATGAAAATTAAAGGGCTTCATAGATTAAAGGTCATACCTATTTTTAATTTTTGTTACATTGTGAATTTTACCTTCCAACCCCGTGTTTTACAGAATTATCTTTTTTACAATTAAATATGTTCTATAACAATTTTTTGCTTGGAATAAAGTTTGAAAATTGAGGTGACATAACCACACACCCTCTGTTGTCTTCTTGGTTAAACCTCGATAAAATTGCATTAATATTAATAATCTTACATAATACATTTTCTCAACTTGTTGATGGTAAAAAAATATTCTTCCAAGCCCAAAAGGATGTACAACACATTAATTTCAATGAAATAGAAAACCAAATCAGTTTAGGTCACAAACTTTTTGCTTAAAAATTTGATTGAAAAGTTCACATTGTAGCGTTCGTTTGCAATAGTTTAAAAATGGCGGCCGTTGTCGTAAGGAAACAACGACACGGCATGTACTTATTTAGTTATTAATTGAAACGTTATATTTTGAATCAATCAAAATAAAAACTTGTATGCATCGATCATGCACTGTTTACATTGACAGCGTAGGCCGACTTGTGAAAATATATTTTGCAAAATTTTTACGATGAAAATCAAATAACTGTTTAATGCATTCCTTTTCAGTCATTGTCTCACCTTAAAGCAGCATATACTCAAAAATTCTTTCTTTTAAATAAAGTAGATAAATGCTGTTTGTATTGATAAATTTTCGAAGTAACGAAAAAAAAGACGAACAATTAATTTTCAAACGTAGGCAATGCTCGACATTAAATTTCACTGTTAATACTGCAATTAAATATTCCACATAATTGTCTTTTCTATTAATACCTTAGTACAGAGCTAGATTAAGGAAATATATAGTCACAACATCAACGTGACCAAAGAAAACACACATGGCATCTATCATGGTGTACGTTTTGTCGAGACTTAAATATGTAGATTAGTATTGTCCGATTTCTTATGAAAGTTAAGCGAGGTGAAATGTCTATAATTTTCAATTTTCTAAATTATTCATCACAAGAGTAACCAATAAATTTTTTCATAATCATATCATTCTAAACATCCTATTCATGAACATTCCAGAAATTTATCAATGAAATTTATGCACCTGTCCTAAGTCAGGAATCTGATGTTCAGTAGTTGTCGTTTGTTGATGTGGTTCATAAGTGTTACTCGTTTCTCGTTTTTTATATAGATTAGACCGTTGGTTTTTCCATTTGAATGGTTTTACACTAGTAATTTTTAGGGCCCTTTATAACTTGCTGTTCGGTCTGAGCCAAGGCTCCGTGTTGAAGACCGTACTTTGACCTATAATGGTTTACTTTTATAAATTGTGACTTGAATGGAGAGTTTTCTCATTGGCACTCATACCACATCTTCTTATATCTTTCAGATATTAAAGTTACAAACTGATGTTATACTCGTCAAGAAATTGCATAACGTGTGCCAGAGGCAGCTAATATATTTTTATATGTTCTAAAAATACCAATGATGTCATTCTTTAAGTTATTTGTAAAATTGGAGTTATCTTTTTTTGTTCATAATTGTAATTGAATCAACTACAACCTATGCTTTATACAATGCAATGTTTACTTTTACTTCCCACTGATAAATTGAAGCAATCTTAACCCATCAGTTCTTACACGCACTTTGATTTCAAAATCCATGCACTTTGAATCATACCGATTTTGGCGGTAAATTTGACATTTGCAACCTACGGATAGTTTTTGACACTGTAATTAATTTCAAATAGTATATTATCTACATTCTTTCATTGAATGGTAGCATGCACAGATTTTTTTATTTTTTGCTACAATTTTACAAAGTCTTCATGTTATGCACACCAAATGTATAAAATTTCTCCCACGATACTTAAGAGTGTGTTGCGTTTACTACAAATGTTGACAGAAGGACAAAAGTCAAATTATAAGACCCAATATCCTCGATTCGGGTTCCGTATACAACCACAAACAAAATCTGTGTGCCTGTATTTGCACTGTAGTTGGCTTGTAACAGGTTAAGATAATATTCTGATGGAATAAACTTACCAAATGAACGTTTATAAATGATTTCATTTTGATTCATCTGAATATCTAAAAAAACATCATAATATTACTTCAAATCAATTAAAAATCTTGAGATTCTACATGCACACTTTTAATATATATACAAATAGCCAGCACAGTGAAAACATCCTAGCATTCAAACTGTAGGCGGAGTAATATTGAATAATTATATACCCATAATGGGACGGACGGACGAACGGAGAGATGGACGAACGGAAGGACTGATGGACAGGGGTAAAACAATATGCCCCCCCCCCCCCAAAGACAAACAGAAAAACAAAAGTACATAATACACAACATTGAAAACCAAAAACCTGAGCAACACGAACATCACCACAAACTGTGGATTATCTTTTGTAAAATAACAGAGCCCGCACCACATTCAGTAAAAATGTTTCATTTATAACGACATCTGTATTTGTTGTCCTTGTAGCATTTATCATTTAATTTTGTAAAAGACCAGAGCCCGCATCACAATCAATAAAAATGGTTTATTTATAACGACACCTGTATTTGTTGTCCTTATAGCATTTTTCATTGAAAAAGTTCAAATTGAGTGGGATAACTATTTATATTATAGTTATATATAGCTGATTATCAGTAGTTATAATATATATATCATGTATATATAATAAATGTTTAAAATAAGTCGTGTACAGATTCGTATACTCATAAAAACACAAAAATCAGGTAAGTAGATAATAAAATATTAATAACATTGTTCTAACGTTTACATCCTTCACGGGACTTATCAAGATATGTAACTAAGTAAAGTTTCCACGGGGTAGTGTGAAGTTACGTTACTGTTGTGCATAAATTGCGTACTCCCTTTACGCATTTAGCTTTGCTTTGAATGTTTTAATAAAGCGCTTCTCCAGAAATTTTCTATATTCCTCATCATCGAAACGACATTTGTAGAACGGGAAAATTTTAAATTTTCCATTGGTACATATGTCTAAGTGTTCACTTAGTGGTATTTGCCGTAAGTGTGAGTGGCGGATTTGTTGTTTGTGGACACGTACTCTTGCACTTAGTTTCCCAGTTTGTCCGATGTAATTTTCTTTACAGGTTGGGCATGTTATACAATAAATTAAGTTTCTGGATTTGCAAGTCATGACTACATTTACATGAAATATTTGTCCACTTTTAAATGTTTTTGTTTCACCCGTTTCAAGATAGTTATAGTTATCTTTACTGCAAATTCCACATCTTGGATCTCTACATGTTTTCACAGAAAAATTTTCAATTTTCGATTGAAATTTTGCTTTTGTAAGAATTCTTTCTAAGTTCCTTGGTTGTCTCTTGCTATTGATTACAGAGTTCGCTGGAATAATTTTCCTCATCCTCTCGCTTTCCATTAAAAAGGGTAAATTCGTTTTGATGGCATTACACACATTGGTGATGCCAGGATCATGCGTATTAACGAACGGAATTATGTTTTTTTTTCTGTTTTTTGTTTCGGTGTTCTAAGTTGAGCTATTCTGAATTCTTTAGCTTTTTTGCACCAGCCTCGATTAGGCTTAACGGGTACTTTTGAAGAAGTAAGGACGACTTCGATTCAATTAACCTAGTTTCTCGTAGATCTTTGTCTGTGACTATTGCACAGATTCGTCGGGCCATACAGAAAGGTATATTCCGTTTTGTGTGCGTTGGATGCCACTTACTTTGTAACATATCTTGATAAGTCCCTTGAAGGATGAAAACATTAGAACAGTTTTATTAATATTTTATTATCTACTTACCTGAGTTTTGTGTTTTTATGAATATATATATATTGTGAAGCCTAGGTGGTCGAGTGGTCTAGCGCGTCGGGCATAGTGCAAGGCGATTTGGTGCCACGATATCTCAGTAGCATGAGTTCGAATCTCGGCGAGGGAAGAACAAAAAATTTGCAAAAGCAAATTTACAGATCTTACATTATAGGGCTGATGTTTAGACGAATTATATATACAGATGTATTTTCAGCCTTGTATCACCATCACTGCTGGTGATCCGATGGATAAAATCTGTTGTAGAGTCGTCACTGGTTCAGACGTTCTTATATATGTATATGTATATACAAATTAAGCATCTAACAAGAGTATCATAATGTTTAAAGTTTTGGCTGGGCGGCTGATGATCGGAAGCCATAGACAAATTTGTGAAATATGCATGTGTTAAAATAAATACGGAGTTGTATAAAAAATATATATATGAGTTAGTATGTATAATAACTACTTGAATACAGTAAGAAAATATGAACTATTTTAATAATATAAAATCATATTTGTATATGCGGGCTCTGTTTTTTTACAAAATTGTGATCCGGAAGGGTAAGCAAATCCTGCTCCAAATGCGACATCCGTCGTATTGCTCATGTAAGGTGTTGAACTTATTACTAGTTTATTGTTATTACAGAACTGAAAACGATAAACTATATAATATGTGTTGAAAATAATCATTATTGTTGTAAATCAAGATAATATATTTATATTTTTAATAGCTATTAGACGTGTTAGAAAAGTCGACACTACTGCTGGCGCTCGTGTTGGATGGAAGATGAATACTATATGATGTGGGGACCATCTCAAAAAGTACAAATACTAAATATTTTTGTTACCTGTATGGGCGTGTTTGATACCTCTGAGATTAATCATAAACAATTATATTTATTAAAGAACGCAGGAGAAGATCAAATGTATTTTTTAATAACCAGAAAAGGTTTAATGTATACAATTTTATATCAATTAATATTTATCTTGTGAATAATTTATCGTGTTTTAACTTTTTGTAAAAAAATGGTAAAAGGGTGTAGTCGTATACTACGAAAGCCATAACACACCAAAAAAAAAATTGACAATCTGTGATCACGGATTGCTAATCTGTGATCTCGGATGGTACTCCTGAACTAAATAATTATGACAATTGAATCACTTTTTTATTAGATAATAAAACTCGCATTTACTGAAAGCTAGCTAAAAGTCATTAACAAGTAATAAATAATTCAAGGTCTATTCAAAAATTCGGATGGTGTTATTATTTACTTTGAGCTAGCGTTCAGTAACTGCAAGTACTCTAATATTGGTTCGTTGTGTGTCGATTTAAGAAAAAAAAGTTTGCAAGACTAAACAAAAGAGAAAAAAACAAACTTAGCTTCAGTTGACATTGTTTCTCGTAGCTACAATTGCATACCCTATGACGGGTTTTTATTAATGTAAATAAATCGACCCTTCTTGACCCCATTGTAATCATATAAAATAAAGTCTCTGCATTTCCGATTCCAATGGTTTTTATCCTACCGCTAACAAAATTGGAGGGGAAAATGTAACGATACCGTCTGTCCGTCCTTCCGTCAAATTTCCGTCCGTAACACTCTTGTTAACACTCTATATTCAACATCGTTCCAGGATTTTGACCAAACTTGGTACATACTTAGTTCTTATTAATATCTAAAGTCCTATAAATTTTCGAGGTTAAAGGTCAAGGTCACTGTCAGACTTGTAATTTATTTGATATTCTTGCTAACACTCTAGACTCGATTTTGACTTTGCTTGGCATATACGTAACCCTCATGAATATCTAGAACCCAATACATTTTCAAGTTCATAGGTCAAAGGTCAATTGACCACCTATTGTTACACCATATAAGAGACTTCAATTCATATGGAAAACGCCGAAAAAAAATGTAAAAAATTGAACAAAAGAATGTTTGAGTGTCGTTGTTAATATGAAAGTGACCACACAATCCAAAATTTGCAATTTAGAATAAATCAGTGAGCATTCATCTTGTGTAAAAGGTGAACTTGTGGTTTCCAAAATATATTGTTTTATTCCAGAATGAGAGAAAAACGATGGTTTATTTCCATTAGGAGATAATGCTGGACAAAACTCTTGTTCCTTTATGAGTTTAAGAATTTGTTGATTCTGAAACAAAACAAAAAAAAAACATGTCCCCCTCCATTTTTTCACAAAAGGCATAAATTTGCCTTATTGTTTTATCAAACTTTGGTTTCTTTAATAAAAAAAATACAATAACATGTATGGTTATAATTATCTCTAATATCCCACGTAATTTGTTTTAAAATTCACATTTAATTATTAATTTTGGGTCTTTTTAAATGATTGTTTGATTTTGTCTTGCATACTATAAATACTGTATTTCAGTGGTCATACATGTAATAAAAAAAGATAGAGTATTTATACTTTGGAAGATGACCCCCACATCATATTAAATCCATCTTCCATCCAACACGAGCGCCAACAGTAGTATCGACTTTTCTAACACGACTAACAAAGCAATTTGTGTAGATTTGATTAGTATCAGGTTTTTAGATTTTACTTTATTGTTTGTTGTTTTTCATAAATTTTATTTTATTTTCTATTAATTTGGTGAAATCTGCCTCAATAGTTAACAAAATTGTTTAACAATCAAACATTTATCATCAACAGGACTAAATGAATAAGTGAAACGATTTTAAACAGACTATATGCTGTTAACTTACGTTGACGGTTTATTTCCTTTAATCTGTGAATTTTCTTACATACCATGACTGAAAGAAGATGTAATATCATCATACTTAAATACAAGTGCATCATTCGTAACGTGTCATGTAATCGTGACAGTCATTTGGAGAATATTCCTGAAATAAATATATGTCTACAATTCTGTAAATATTTGAGCCGTAATGACCGGTCTTGTTACACGCGGGTGTGGTGATAAGGCTTGGGGGTCGTTAATGCAGGTCAAACCAATCCCATATACGTGCGAACACATCATGCGTTAAAGAGTACATGGAAGTGCAAAGTAACACGTTGATAAGATTTTCAAATTTGATATTAACATGATATGTTGCCATAATGTGAGACTTTTGATATGTTGCCATAATGTGAGACTTTTGATATGTTGCCATAATGTGAGACTTTTGATATGTTGCCATAATGTGAGACTTTTGATATGTTGCCATAATGTGAGACGTTTGATATGTTGCCATAATGTGAGACTTTTGATATGTTGCCATAATGTGAGACGTTTGATATGTTGCCATAATGTGAGACGTTTGATATGTTGCCATAATGTGAGACGTTTGATATGTTGCCATAATGTGAGACTTTTGATATGTTGCCATAATGTGAGACGTTTGATATGTTGCCATAATGTGAGACTTTTGATATGTTGCCATAATGTGAGACTTTTGATATGTTGCCATAATGTGAGACGTTTGATATGTTGCCATAATGTGAGACGTTTGATATGTTGCCATAATGTGAGACGTTTGATATGTTGCCATAATGTGAGACGTTTGATATGTTGCCATAATGTGAGACGTTTGATATGTTGCCATAATGTGAGACGTTTGATATTTGAAAATATTCTGTTCATGTACGTATTCCATTCCAAATTTTAAATTTGTGCTGATGTTAAAATCTAACGTTCTTAACGTTCTTATCATAAATTGCAAAACATGTATTGTTTTATGTTCATGTTAATATTATAATATATTACTATTTTGTATATTCAACTGCCGTTTCGACTAGCTTCAGTTTTTACTATCTATGAAACATAAAATATATTTAATTTTTTCGCGTTTATTTTTTTCAAATCGAACCGAACAGGTTACCATGAAGTTTGATCTTTATTTTCATTTTAAAAATCTAATCAGAAACATTGCTTCTAATGCCTTAAGATTAGCGTTGTATTATAGTGTTATCAAGTGTAATGATTCGAAAGGATTCTTATTATGAAATTCTTTTTTACAAAAAATGATGAGAAACTTTCCCTTGAAATCATACAGTGTCAGTTTGCGATAAAAATGTAGCACGCAAAGTCAACCGAAATATTTTAATCCATACAAGACATACGCGAAAGATATCAAATGAATATCAATAAGTAGAAAACCAACATACAATTCAATGGTAAAATAAAAACGATAAACGACAAAATACAAGCAACATCACATAAAACACGACATAGAAAATTCAAGTCTAAGCAACACGAGCCCCAATATCAGTCCGGTAAGATCCTTAGTGCTACGTATGGGTAAGTGGATCCTGCTTCATATGTGACATCGTCATGTTGTTCATGTAAATATATAACAATAAGTTATATTCGCTATGTCACAGTCGAGGAAAAGAAAATGGAATTTGGTTGACAACAACTGATAACATATATATTGTCATATTCGAAGTAGATATTCTATAACGGTCAAACAACTCGTGATGGCGTCCAAAAATTTCGACTTGATGATTTTAACTTCAACACTTTATTAGGTTGTTGATGGCAACTATGATAAAGGATAAGATATGATTCATTATCAAGTACATATTCATTGAATTCGAATATAAAACAGTGTTTTAAAAACATGTGTTGAAATCATTTAGATATCCGTTAGTCACTAGTCAGATATATGTATATAAAAATAAGAAGATGTGATATGATTGCTAATGAGACAACTCTCAACTACAGACCTAATGAAAAAATGTAAAACAATTCAAACGAGAAAACTAACGGCCTAGTTAATACACAAAATAATGAACGAAACACAAATATATAACCAGTGTAGATACTGAAGTCGTCATTATTCAGAGCCAATATATCATTCAAATATTTGTATTAGATGTTGTTTCGATGGGTCTTCGCTAACTTTAGACATACATTGCAACTCATAACAATACAGAAACAGGTCTGCAATAAGTGGTGCACCTGACTACGTACATACACATACAGAATGTGGTAGGGCTAAACATGTTAGCAGGCACCCAACCCTCCCCTTAACATGGGACAGTGGTGTAACAGTACATTGAATGTCGTATGGTAAACGTTTTAAAAAATGCTATCAGATTGGAAATCGGCCGTTAGTTTTCTCGTTTGAATTGTTTTACATTTTTCTTTTCGGGCCTTTAATAGCTAACTATGCGGCATGGGCTTTGCTCATTGTTGAAGGCCGTACGGTGACCTATAGTTGTTCATTTCTGTGTCGTTTAGTCTGTTGTGAAGAGTTGTCTCATTGGCAATCATACCACATCTTCTTTTTGATATGGACAGCAATCAAAAACAATCAATTGATTATAGGCTCTTGGCCTGAATCTCAGAGGCGTATCCAAGGGGGTCATGAAATACAACAGAGGTACCTTAAGGGTAAAGAATATGTTTATACAATGAATATGTAACTTAAAACCATCGTTAATAAGTAATACAGTTTCTTTAATGTGGAGATGTAAATGTGAAGAGATGATTCTCAATATCAACTGGTTTGCTTTCTTCAATTAGGTTTTTATGCCCAATTATGGGCATTATATTTTTCGGTCTGTGCGTCCGTTCGTCCGTCCGTCTGTCCTGCTTCAGGTTAAAGTTTTTGGTTAAAGTTTTTGGTCAAGGTAGTTTTTGATGAAGTTGAAGTCCAATCAACTTGAAACTTAGTACATATGTTCCCTATGATATGATCTTTCTTCAAATTAGAGTTTTGACCCCAATTTCACAGTCCACTGAACATAGAAATTGATAGTGCGAGTGGGGCATCCGTGTACCATAGACACATTCTTGTTTTTTATCTTTAAGGTATAAAGGTTATGCCAACATCAAACTGATTTGTCATTCTGGTTATTATAAGCATCTTAAAGTCTTTACCCACCCATATGAATTTCATTAAAATTTTGACTTATGCGTTTTACACTCTTGACTTCATGAAAAACCACAAAAAGCACCAATCTGAAGAACCAACGTCTCTTATTGGACCTAGAATCGTTATGGATTTTGTTCTCTATGAGATGGACATCTAGAACCCCGACAAACTCAGTGTTTTTTTATTTTTGATAGCCGGACTTGTTTTGTCCGAGTTAACTATCATTCGAAAATAAAGTGTGGTAGTATTTCTAGTGAGATACAAAATTCAATGTTACCAAAGTTAGTAACTACAAGCATATAGAAACACAAAAAGTTTGTGATTTTCTAAACATTTGCCATTTTAAAATTGTCAGCACGATAAGAATATTATCGTTAAAATATGCAGCCCAGATTCCTGCATGTTTTATTTTAACTTAAAAAATAGAAATGATAAATTGATTGAATGATGCACGTGCAACATGATTGATTTATTGTTTTCCTAGCGTCCAATGGTAAATATGTTATGTATGTACATTATTAATCACCAAAAATATACAAGATGAAGGTCCTATGATAAAGGTTGATCGGGATGAGATGGTGGTGGTGGTGGGGAGATTGACTGGTCCTTCAAAATGCCACCTATAGGCTCCTCAAAGATTTGTTGCAATGGTTCTTCAAGTGCATAGGGCATGATACTCTCATCATGCTCATGGCGAGTAATCGGAGTGAACGTCACAAATCTGAACGGACGTTGCTGCTTATTAAGACACTTATCACAGCCAAACGGACACCCAATTTCAGCGACGGATTTCCTGCCGGTCGGAAGAAGAAGACCAAAGGGACCATATTTATATTCCACAGTTACCGTGGCGTCATCGGTAAATAATGTGGTTGGGCAAAGCATCAATCATCTACCTAACCTTACACATTTGCTTTGTTGCCTCTTTAATGTCTTTATAGTTGTCAATAAAAAAATGAAACATTTCAAAGTTAGTACTGAAAATTTTCTGGACCCCCATTTGTTAATGACACTCGTACGTACTGGCTGATTGTTGGTTGGTTAACGTTCACTTGCAAGTTCAGGATGAGCACAAAGTTCCAACACATACTACAGGTAGGTCCTGGAAGGAGGCCGTCCGGAATTACGTCGTGGAAGTTTGGACTGCCACTGGATAAAATGAAGTATATTAGGTAAGGACAAAAATGTTGCCTTGCAACAGGCCATTTATGTACCCCTCAGAGAGTTTTTTTCTAGGGTTCGTAAAGTTATGAGAGCGTGGTGCTTTCTCTCCACGAGGCATTGGATCTAATATTCCCATTATGACTGGACATGGCTGCGTACTTGTACATCCCACACAGCTAATCAGGTTCCCCACATCGGCAAGTGTCTTACTGCCGGTCGGAAAAAGACCAAAGAGACCATATCTTTATTCCCCAGTCACGTTTTGGGGTCACCGGTACATAATGCGTTTGGGTTAATTTGAAACATGTTTGCAAGTCCATCACCTGCCTAAACTAAGACAGTGGTGTGAAACACGTGATGAGAATAGACTTTACCAAATTCTTTCATAGCCAAAAAGATTTGGCTAAAAAGTTTTGCTGTACCTGTTGAATTCTTATTTAAAACGAGATAGCATATCTTATTTTTTACGGTGATGTTGTTTAAATAGCCAATGATTTTGTTTTTGAAAAATCAAAACATCAACAAATATTATTACCATATGTACACACTTATGAGAACTCATGAGATCGTACATCCTCTCGATACTGTTTACTTATATTTGGCATTGCACAAGTTCATCATTTTTATTACGTCTTCACTCTAAATCCGTTGGATATATATACTGACTAATACTTTAGGTTTGAATAACATAATTTACCTTTTAGTTGTAATTGGCTTTGAAATAGCTATCAGTTACTACAACTACTCTTATTTCTGTACTTTATGTGTATTGCTTTTGTGCCTTATATCGATATTTTGATTTGAGCCAATTGCAACTGTAAAGATTTTTTTTTTATCATGTTGTGCTGTTACATCAGTGCCCCTGCAGGTTAGGGAGAGGGTTGAGGGCTCACATGTTTAATCCCGCCGCATTATTTATGTGCCTGTCTAACGTCAGGAGCCTGTAGTACAATGGTGAAACAGATCTGTCACATTTGTTTTTCGTTAACAAATAATTCATTAGTTATAAATTAGACCGTTAGTTTTCTCAATTGATAGGCGACTACTAGTATACGGTATAGGTTTTTCTCATTGATGAATGCAGTACGTTAGAATATAAAAATTGCTTAGACCCACTTCATTTAAACTTTAGGGATAGTTGTCTCATTGGCCATCATACCACATCTACAAAAAAAAAAAAAAAAAAAAAAAAAAAAAAAACAGATGGAATGCCATCTAATGCATACGGCAAACGAAGGTCAACGAGCTCTTATGGCTGTTTTTGTTTAGGCGAACTTGGAACAACATCGGAATTTAAAAGAGCCTTAAACTGTGAACAGCAAGAGTCTTAATTGATGTTTTATTGGCTGTACTATATTTTTTTAAACTTTATTTCATCTGTAATATATTTCTTAACAGATTATTTCATCTGGAATAACGTTGAAAGTCCTAATTTTCAATAGAAAAAATTATGATGTACGCTAGTTAAAAGATGGCAATTTTGGCTTTAGATGACTGATATTTTATGTCAACTACTTCGACTAAGTTTACAGATAAAAAATTACAAAAAAATTAAAAAAAATGGTCGCCGATGCCATCTCAAATACCTTAAAAAGAAAGGGATTTGTGACGGTTTTTGTCAACGAATTGTACAGTGATTATTTAAAAACGAGCAACGAACTCGACACATTTGGTGATACGAACGGTACAGTAAGAGAAAACTTATTTAGTATGATATTGCGTTTATTCTGAGTTCTTGGGAACATTTGAAGGCACGTACTAATTCAACGTATCGTTATTTATTATTGCTTAAGGTATTGAAACGCAAAAATTTATGTACAAAAAGATATTCAGCATTGTTTACCACAAAAAACGTAGGAAATTGCACCATGTCTTTGCTTTTTTCATCTAGCAGTTTAATCAAATGTTATATATACTATATTAAACTTGCAACAACTGTATAATTGAATAAATAATCTAACATACACATTGACATATTGATATATACTCAAATAAGTTCTAGAGAGCCTTCGAAATTGTTGTCATCCCAAATGTTATCCTGATTATTGCTTCGAACGCATTAACGTCCGGATTCATTTGTTTCGGGGTTATACGGGGTGATTATGTAACAATCAAACTTGCTTTGTACAAGACGACAGTTTTGCATTATTGATACATCGTAACTTTATACTTACTGTAGAGAGAAACAACACTGGTCATGAATATTAGTAATACTGTGGTAATATATAAACACTGCAATCTGTGTGTTTTACCTAAAACAAGAACAAATTATGAACATAGTTACTGTTTCGTTTTACATGACTGTTTCTTATTGTATCTTAAATCTAACAATGGAATAAAAAGACCCAGTTTTTTAATTGTATATTTGTTAGTATGACAAAACGATGGAAAGTATTAATTTGATAAAAACTTAAAAGTATATTTAGAAAGTTTCAGATTGGTTAACCTAAAGATTAACAACAAACAAGTACGATGATTTTTGATCATACTAGATAAAGATAGTTTTAAAAAGAAATATTGTAATGGCTTATTCAGACTTTTATTGTTTAATTGCTGCTATTTTACCTTTATTTACATATCCATTTAGACAGGAAATGTCCGTTTCAAAAGGACGAGTTTTAACCAATTGAAATGTTAAGCAACATTGAATTTTCAATCAGAGAAAGCTTATGTACAGTATACCAGTTCTTCGACTTACTCACCTTTCATTTCAAGCTTTTCTATCGATATTTAAAAGACCGTAAATATTTAAACATATTTCATTCACGAATTGACCAATTATTGAAAGTTTTAGTATATCGTTTTGGTTTTTGGAAAAAAAACCAACAATAGAAAAATACTTAAATGTTTTAAATCAATATCTTTACTTTTACGTTATATGTTGATTTCTACAGTATAATTATTTATACATGCTCATATTAGGTTACGTCAATGATGAAAATACAACGAGCCATGCAGAGTTTACTTCTTAAGATGGAAAGTCAGTGAAATTGCATTAACCTCATTGTATAGTAAATGACATGTTCAACTGATATTTAACGTATGATGATTACTTTTCTTTTTTCCTATTTACCTCCGAAATAGATTACCTGAGCTGTATTTGGCAAAACGTTTCGGAATTTTGGGTCTTCAATGCTCTTCAACGTCGTATTTTATTTGGCCTTTTTAACTGTTTTTGATTCAAGCATTAGTAAGTAAGAAAAAATTGGACAAGTCACTAGGACGTCAATGCCAATGATATTCAGACATATTGATAACGCCCCAAAACACTTTCCTTCCAATTGAATAATCCAAAGTTTGATGATTATGTTGACTGCATCTATCAAAATAAACTTGAACTTTAGAATACCACACAAACATTCAAGTTTCTTGAATTACGTACAGAAACTAACAATGAGGGTCGATTGACAACCAAATCGTACGACAAAAGAAGCAGTGTCAATTTTCCCATCGTGAATTTTCTATTTCTTAATAACGACATTCAAACAGTGCTAACGATAAAAGAAGATGTCTCCAAATTGATACAACATTCCATGGATTTCGTTTTCTATCTTGATTTCTTTAAAAGACGGATGCTGCTTAATTGAAAGCTTGGAAAGCAAGGGTGATAACGTGGAAGTCATGCCATTCGAAGTGTGACGGACGCCATCATAATAAGGGAGACCATTATTGAATAAAAGTGTCGCATATTGATACTTCCTGTATGCATGAGCAACACGACGGGTGCAAAATGTAAAGCAGGAACCGCTGAACTTCATGCGATTTCACAAGTTTATATAACAATATAGAGATCTTGTATAATAACCAATGAGACAACTATACACCAAAGTTCAAATTAAGTAGATGTAAACAATTATAGGCAACCATACGACCTTCAACAATGAGAAAAAGACATGTCGGTTATAAAACGCCAAAGTATGAAAAATATGAAACAACTCAATTCAGAAAACAACAAAACAATTAAACAATTATGAAAAACAAGTACGACAGACTTGAAACAACGACAATCATAGAACTATAGTCTCCTGGCTTGGGAATTAAAAATGTGATGTTAAAACTATGGTGATTTCCTATATGACACTTACCATTGTATTCATCGTCAGCGTTATTAAATTGATCTATTACTAATGTTGTTAGCATATGGTTTTCTGCTAACCTGTATATGGAAATATGACAATATATCAATAACAACATGATCAAGTATACACCATTACCTGCTCAGGATTATATACAAATTACGTATTCTGTTGATGAATATATAATAAACAACATTTTGTTCTTCATCGGCCTTGTAGATTTCCATGTTTAGTGCATTAGAATTCATTCATTCATAACGCTTATTTAGTATAAGCATTCCAGGTGTTGCTTGAACCGGTCTTATAGAGTCAAACAAACAAACAAACTAGAGGCTGTCAAGAGCCTGTGTCGCTCACCTGTATATACTGATGCTTTGGAAATCATGTAAAATAGGGTTAAAATCATGACTAATAGTATTAGATACTATAGATTATTAGATATTATTAGATACTATAATGATATCTAAGATAATAACCAAAAACTGCAAAATTTCCGTAAAATTACTAACTCAGGTGTAGCAACCCAACAACGGGTTGTTGGATTCGTCTGAAAATTTCAGGGCAGATAAATGTAAATTTAATGAACATTTTTGCCGCCTGTCAGATAGTTCTTAATGCTTTAGTTTCAGAGATATAAACCAAAAACTGCATTTTACACCTATGTTCTATTTTTAGCCATGTCGGCCATGTTTGTTGGAAGGCGGAGTTATCGGACACATCTTTTAAACTAGATACTATAATGATGATTGCGGCGAAATCTAATTAAATTTGTCTCAGTAGTTCCAGAGTAGAAGATTTTTGTAAATGATAACAAAAATTCTAAAAATGGTTTAAAATTTACTATAAAGGGCAATAACTCCTAAATGGGTCGACTGACAATTTTTGTCATGTTGACCTATTTGTAGATCTTACTTTGCTGAACATTATTGCTGTTTACAGTTTATCTCTATCTGCATAATATTCAAGATAATAACCCAAAACTGCATAATTTCCTTAAAATTACTAATTCAGGGGCAGCAACCCAACAATGGGTTATTCGGTTCGTCTGAAATTTTGAGGGTGGATAGATCATAACCTGATGAACATTTTTACCTCGTGTCAGATTAGCTCTAAATGCTGGAGTTTCAGAGATATAAGCCAAAAACTGCATTTTACCTCTATGCCCTTTTTTTTAGCCATGTCGGCCATGTTGGTTGGCAGGCGGGGTCATCGGACACATTTTTTAAATTAGATACCCTAGTAGTGATTGTGGCAAAGTTTGGTTAAATTTGGCCTTGCAGTTTCAGAGGAGAAGATTTTTGTAAAAGTTAATGGACGACGACGAGCCAGATGTGCTAAAATTGAGAGAAATACAATTACTGAATTTTTGTATGATCTTTTAATTGATATTATTATCTTTTTTAATTTTAATGTCCATCATAAAGAAAAAGAAATGCAACAAAGAAACCGTTAAATTCTTAACCTTAGATATGGACTAAGAATATGAGCTGAATACAAAAGCATACTGTTTTAGTATATTTTCAAACGACAACAACATATATACCATGTGGTTATTTTACTACAAAAGACTGGGTAATCAAAGCCTTGTTATTATTATACTAAATCACAGACATCAAATAAATGTAATTGTGAATTGGTTTTGCACGATATGTATACATATTAAAACATATTTCCCAATGTCTCATAACGATTTCATTTCATTTTTTTGTTCGTAAATGTTTTTTTTAGTCATTTGCATCTTTTCGGATATGATATCATCCTAAGGTAATATGCAAATATGTTTGTTTTTCTTCTTATGATGACTTTATTTACTGTACAAAGAGGCAAACAATACTAAGGGACCTATAGAAAGTATAAGAAATCAGACAATACCAAGATCAAAATGAAACAAATGAATGCACAGAAAATTTAATTTAAAGCAACACGAATCCTAACAAAAACCCAGTGATAATCAGGTAAGATGGTGCCATCTCAACTATGCAAGTACAGCTGGAATGTTGTGAAATAAAAAGAAGAAGTCTAAGATGAGTAGATGACTTTTTTATCATTAAGTTGACTTCCCAACCTACCATTTTCATGATACTTGTAAATGTCTCGATGTTCTCAAGATATAATCAGACTTAACTGTAACTGTGGTTACCCTTTTTAATTCAATGAGAGAATGGGTTCTACACTGTCAAAACCTGGGCGAAATTAAGGGATAAGACATCATGTTAAATACACAACTTTAAGAATGATGCTGACATCTTATTCATTCTTACTGGGAAGCTCATGTATGAAATTGTATAAAGAAACAAGTCGGCAAAACTTTACTCTTCTTATGTTTTGTAGACTGTTGCATATCATTTTGATTGTATTTTTGTTGCTTTTGCATTGTTAGTTGGTTTTCGAATTATGAGTATTACTATCCTTTTGATATATTCCTCTGTTGTATCCTTTTCTTAAAAAGATATATATTTATCATTTCTGGCATATGTGTACTGCAACAAAGTTGGAAGCATTTTTTTTCAATTATCTGTAAGTTTAAAATGAGAACTTATAGTGTAAAAAGTCGAGTAGGAACACTTTTGTATATGCTATTGCATTAGACAAGATACTAAATGAATATAGTCTCTATCAGATCTATGATTTTTTTGGTTTTCATATCAAATACACGCTAGAACTGCTTCCAGCTCAGTGATTTCACAGTAATTCATTTCCGGGATTGGTTCTTGATTGAGTCGATTTCAATCAATTAGAAAAAGGGTTTTTCATATGGTAGAACCGTGTAAATATACATTTTATTGACCATGCATACTTCGTGTGGGGACGATAAATGGCTGACCCGTGTTAAGAGAGAGCCATATCTCTTGCACGTAAAATACACCCTTGTAGATTTCGAAGAAGATCAGGCTAATGCCGCTACAAGGCAGCACTCGCACCCGCAAAGTGGAAATCGATTAATATAAGTTGCAATAACTTGTTCCCCAATCCACTATAAATAAATATGTTTAAACTAAAGTTTGAAGTGCTAGGTTTTTCTTCTGTACATAAATAAACAAATGCTTTAAATTATAAATGGATGCGATACTTTTAAAATATAATAGCAGTTCTTTTTAATGTCATTATAAGTAACATTGCATGTTAATAAGCAGTTTTCAAGTTACTGCTAAACGTCAAAATGTTTTTTTGACAATATATCTATATTCACCTCAAACCTTCAAACAGACTTATTCAGAAGTCCTTGCTCGGAAATAAACACATTTATTCTAAAGGCAGCTGTTGGCATGATAAGGGTTATGTTTGTCTCATACCTTTTATTATGGTATGGTTCTAAACCAATTACAGGAGGAATTGAGCTAGATTTTCATATGATGAAGACATAATCTTTAATCAGTTTAATTGAGGTCTGGAGCTGGCATGTCAGAAACTGCTAGTAGTCCTTCATTGTCATTTTGCTTAATTTCTTTTGTTACCTAGTCTGACACTGACCCTGACTTCTTTTGAACTGAGCTTTACTGTGCGTATTGTTGTGTGTTTGTTTATTCTACATTGGCTAGAGCTATAGGTAGAGGGTTGAGATCTCACAAAATATGTTTAACCCCGCCGCAATTTTTGCGTCTGTCCCAAGCCAGGAGCTTCTGGCTTTTGTTGGTCTTGTATGTTTTTTTTTAATTTTAGGTCATTTAATATATTTTTTGGTGTTTAATGTGACGTTATATTTACAGAACTAGTACACATTTTCTTTAGGGCCATCTGAAGCATTCATCCAGTTGCAGGATTTGCTTGCTGTGTTGAAGACCCTTCGGCTGTTTTCTGCTCTTTGGTCCAGTTGTTGTCTCTTTGGCGCATTCCCCATTTCATTCTCAATTTTATTTAGACTTGAAATAAAACAGACGACATAAAATGATCTATGAAACTTTGTTTTCAGACAATACGCTAATTTCAAAAAATGTACCGTAGTTCATGGTTAACTGAATTTAAAAATAATTTAGATGATCGACATTTATATAGACAATTTCTTAAAACCTGTTCATCCCTGCATACATAAGGAATTAGTTTTTATAAAACAAATCGTCGATATAATTCCTTCCCTCTTATGTTTAACAATCCATCCGAAGGTATGAACAGCGAATTTATCCCGCCAGTACTATGGTACAGGCTTTGATTATACAAAAAGAAATATTGCCATTTTGTATATACATATACATAAAAAATACTATAGATTTTGTGTTAAAATGTCCCTCATTATGTACAAAAAGAACAGAATTTTAAGGTTGTAAGATGATATCTTTACAAAAGATAAAATACTGACACCGAATACTGATGCGACAACAAAATTTGCAATTTTGAACTTTAATTTCTTAACAAATTATTATGAGGTAGAAAAGTACTCAATTAATAGGCCAGTACAAGAATATTAATAATATAAAATAAGTATTGTCACTTTTTATTGTTATCGACATAGATATTTTAACCGTAGACTTATAGAACTCTAAATTAGTGTAAAACAATTCATCCTTAGTGACAAAAAAAAAACAGAATTTCAATGCCGTTGTATAATATTAAAACCTTTTTTTTGATGCGACAACTAATTTTTAATTTAAAACTTAAATTTCTTCTTTTTGATTTCTTACAATCCATTAGGTAGAAAAGTACTCAATTATAAGGCCAGTTCAAGAATATTAACAACAAAAAGAAATATCGTCACATGTTATTGTTATCGACATATATATTAATAACCATAGACTTATAGATCTCTCAAATTGTGAAAAATACTATTCATTCTTTGGGACCAGCAGAACATAATTTCAATGCCTTTGTATAATATTCTAAAACAATGGAAAGTAAAGACACCTTTTTTATGCAACAATAAAATTTGCAATTTTAAACTTAAATTGCTTAACTTTTATGTATAACAATCCATCCTATGGTATAAAAAGTACTCAATTATCAGGCCAGTACAAGCTAAAATATTTATAAATTTATAAAAAACGAAATATAGTCACTTTTTATTGTTCTTGACATAAATATTAGAAACCATAGACTTATAGAACTCTCGATTTGTGTATATATATTCAGCCTTATGAACCAAAAGGAC